TCATCACAAACAGGGAAGAGAAGAGTTATATATTTAAATTTCTTTTCTTATATGTATTATATATCCCAAAATGTCCTGCATCCAAGACTTTTAGGAAGTCTAACAAGCATGGATCTTGCAAGGAGATATTTTGGATTCTTGAATTTCATATGTCCTTCCTCCCCAAAAACACCAGGGAAAAAACAAAAACAAAAACCTGTCAACTGAGACCTGATCTTTTTCTTCAAGATATATGCATGCATTTACAAATAAGTAGTGAGTTATATTAATATTCCATCTGACTTTATCATCATGTGTGTGTAGTTGCAATTGCCAATTTACAGGCCATTGTAGCTATTTTGCAGGTGATGCTTAGCCACCGTTTCATGTAAATCTAGCACATAAAATGATTGTAGAAATCTTACATTCTTATCTACTGTTTTTTGTATTTTGAATTAGAAAGTTGTAACTGCTTCCTAAATGATAATGTCAACCATTCAGATGGTGCTTAAGTAACTAAATAACTATTCAGTGCTGCTGTTACAATAGGGTTATAGCAGTGTACAGTTTAGCAGAAGTAGGTACACTGTAAATTTATACCTCAGGAAGTATGTGTTTGGCAAGAATACATACAAAATCACCACCTTTGTTTAAAAAAAAATTAAATCTTCTTGAATCAACTTATATGACAAATCAAACAGATGCATGAAATAAGGAATTTTGAATGACAGAAGGGTTAAAAACAGAGAGAGCAGTGTAGCTGGGTTTGGATTTTGGATTGAGCTTACGTAATATCTGGGCTGATAGTCACAAATGCAAGACTGTGGCTTTGCTTTAAGAAAACTTGTCTTCCTTGGTCAGTCTGTCAAAGCTCTGAGAGTCATAGTTGCTCTGAAACAGGGAAAGTAACTTCTGCCAGCCACACATGTGAAAACAAAAATGTCAGATTTCATGGCATTTTAAAATATCTCTCTGACTTTTTAGAGATCCACAAAAACTTTAAAAAAACTGGAGGAAATTACAGTGAGTCTTCTCACTGATGTTTGTCTTTGGCTGCTCTGCTCCAGCCTCTGATCAAATTAATGCACACAAAACCACTTCTGACAAGGCCTAGATAAGAGCCCTATTTTTTCACCTTAATACAAGAAGGAGGATTGTCAGAATGTGACTGTCATCTGCTGTGAAATTGCTTGGATAAATATGTGTACTGGATAAGCAGACAATAGTCAAATTGTTCTATTTCCTAAGTGGCTCTGCCAGTTAACCAAGGTACAGTTATTCCCTCCCACAACAATTCATCTTGTGTATTATATTCTGTCATTATCAAAGCCTAAGAAAGTCTTTGGAAACTCATGTCTGATACAGTAGTGAATCTGAAAAGATTAGGGTGAGGCACCAGCTCTCCTGTACTCAGTTCATTATAGGAAACCTCAGAGCTAAACAAACCACCTCAAATGGATTGCTGCTGGTTGCAGGGAATAGCAGCTGCTCTGAAGGGATCATCACTTGGTCCCTCTTCTCAGCAGCAGTGATGCCTGGGAACCCTGATGGTCCTTGACTTGGGAGAAGACTTCTACATTTGAAATAGGATTGCCTCATGAAAAATGTAGTCAGAAAATAGGGTAGGGATAGGGGGAAATTGAGGAGAAAAAACATCAAATGGCACAAGGACAAGAATTCTTTTCAGATGGATGTTTAATCTTGGGTAATGCTGAGAAGAGAATGAGAATGGAAGAATAGGAGAAGGATGTGTAGGACAAGCATATGTTATCCCAGGCACAAGAAGAAAGAAGTGAAGGAACTCTGTTTCCTTTAACAGCTCAACAAAAGTTAAAGTCCTGGTCTGCACCCCTGAACCATGTCTCATTACACTTTTATGAAGGATGCAGTTTACTTTGATAGGAAATACTTGTATAAAAGATTAGTTTGGACTTGGACTGTGGGAAGAAAATACAGTGCATACCTAGTTAACACATTATGTGAATAGACCAGAAGGCCTCACATAAATATGAAAGCATTAAAAAGACAAACTGATGTTCTCAGAATTAAAAGTAGAAAGGACTGATATGATATTTAATATTTTTAATCTGCTATGCTGAAATAACCAAAGTATATAAGCCTGAAAATTTTGTGGCACAATTGAGTAGAAAAGAATTAGTTTTGTCAAGTATAATATGCCTGGGAACTTAATATTATTCAGATGATGTCAAATGCAGAGCAAACAACATAAATGCTGAGCTGTGAGAAACTCTGTGTGAATAAATATGTGCCTATCACACTTTAGACATAAAATATTCATATATTTCAATGCTAATTCTTCCCTGACTGGACTGCTTCCTGAAAAAAAAGAAAAAAAAAAAAATGTTTTCTCAGAAAATCACCAGATACAGCTTATACTTAATATTATTGGTAAAAACAGTGGCTGGAAACACTAAGCAGCCCTTTTTAAAACTCCATTCTCTTTTAATTGTGAACCTTCACATTACAGGGCGATAATTAGAGGAGCAGACTTAGGATGGAGGTAAACAGCATTTTTTCTGCATCATTGCCTGATAGTGTGTGTGGAGCTGGTTGGGATTCAAGACCAGACCCTGAATTGCTGGTGTCTCAGAAGCAGCTACGGATTAACATTTAATAAAGAGTAGGTCAGCTATGACCGGCTTTAATTGAAAAGGGACAGCCAGGGATAATTTCAAATGTACCACCATGGTTTCTTGCCTATTTGAGGGAAAGAGGAGCTCTCACATCTTAAGTGCCCTTACTGCTGATAGAAAAAGCCCAGCATTTTCAATCCTTCTGATCCAGCCCAGGGGTAATACTAAACCAAAAATTATGGGCAAATACTCTTTATATTGGATATTTTGGTCATTCACAGACAGCACTGTGGACTGAGAGAGACAGCTCACCTGTTTGAATGGCAAATCTGAAGAGAAGCAGCAATTTTAATCAATGCACAAGCATTGCTCCTCCATCACACTACAAGTAAACACATAAGCAATGCAAGGATCTGATTCTGTGCCCCTGCTCCTGCAGCCATACCTTTGGAATACAATATTTAGGGACAAATAGTGGTCTTTAAACTTGTGAGGTACTGTAATAACAGAGTGATGCTACAAAGATATCTGTAAAGAGATAGGTGCTCCAAAGCAATCTTTTCCCAGGGAAAACAGCATGCACCCTATTGACACTGCAATTATGGAGCACTGCCCAAGCCTGCTTGTACTTGATTTTATGTCTGCTGGATTCCTCTGCCATGTTATTGGTACAGATCTACCTTGGATAGTTCAGTTCTCTCTTCCATGGCATTCCCAAACTTCAGGCTCCTGGGGGTTTTCCCACCTTCTCAAAACAACAGCCTGGCCTCTCTTGTGAGCTCCCTATTTTATTTCTCACTTGGGTTTAGTATTACTTGAGTGCTACACAAGACTTTTCCTGGGATATTTTATTGGGCTTTTTCTTCCTCAATCATCATCATCCTTATTTTTCATACTCATCTTCCAGCTGAATTTTCTTTCTGTCTCTGTACTCTAACTCACCACTTGTGGTTACTGATGTGCTTTCTTTGTGCAGTTGCTGACATCTGAAACAGATTCTGTATAGCTCTTTGAGTCATAAACTCTCAATTTTATTCCAAGTCTCAGATGAAGAACTACCTTTTAGCAGTTGCCTATATCTCTTAATTTTCTCATTGTGTGTTTTTTTTTAAGTACAAACCCATCAATTTTGTTTCTAAACTGCATATATTATGTTAGAATACATAGTATTTTTTTTTTTTTTAAAGTTATAGAAAATAAGGCCTAATTGTGTTGGCCAGATCTTTCTTATTAGCATTAGCTGGAAAAAAAAATTCCATAGTATTCCACAGAATGACACAGATACACTCTGGAGACAGTGAAAGAGAGTAGAGCATAGGATATTTTACAAGAAGACTCGATAGCAATCCTAGATGCTGTGCAATGCAACCGAAGCCGCTCACCTATGTGGTAGCTGATTTAGATTGAACCTGGTTCAGGGCCAGGAAATTCACATGCCAGGAAAAAAAAAAAAAAAAAGAGCTACAAGTGGGGGTTTCTGTGGCAGAAACTTGGGGCATAAATACAGCATTTTGATTATTGTCCTTGTTGAATGATCCTCTTTTAGCCTTTGACATTTCATTTTCTTCAGCTTATTGGTACAAAACACTACAAATCTCACATGCACAGAAGGAGCTGTAGCCTGTGCTTATCTTGCATCCTTGATCACTTTAGGTACACACAGCAGCTCCAAAGGCACAAGCCCAGAAGACCTGCAGTAAGGCTTTAAGATAACTTTAAGTTACCTACATCAAATGAGTTTTCCATGCTCCTGCTCTAAGCCAGAAAACAGAGAGTACATGTGCTGCCCTCAGAGGCTGTGTCACTGGTGAAGAAGTCAGGCATTGCTAATTACAGAAGTGCCTTACTGTGTCCTTTGGCTTAAGTAGCTAAGGGACTGATCCAAGGAGACCACAGGAATCGGTGGGAACGTTCTTCCATTTACTTCAGTAGGCCTTGGGTCTGGCATTTGTTATAGAGTACTGAAACCTGCTTAAATACACCTCAAATTTCTGTTGATCTCACGAACTCTATCAATTGTTTCCAGATGCACTCTGCAAAAAATAATTTTCTTTTTCTGTGAGATTTTAAATACAAACAGCAAGCAATATGAGAAACCTGTGGGCAGCTGGCTTGACTTTTGTCCTAGAAACTGCAGACTGGTCATGCATAACCTTTCTTGAGTAGAAAAAAATAGCAATAATTCAAATTGATTTGGATATGAGCACAGTCGAAAGGACTGAAATTGGCTGAAAATGCCCTGGCTTGGAAGGAGCTTCAAGCACTACTGAGGAGGGAAATAAGAAAAACAGAGTAGAACTGTGAGCAGAAAAATACAAAATTAAATTCAAACTAGAAAAAAAAAAAGTTAACAAATCTTCATCTGAATTCTGTCTTCATTGGCACCTTATGTATTTCCTTTATTCCTGATGTCCTCTTCTCTTGTAGGTTTTAAATAGGCCTGATAGGGCCATTGGTTTCAGGAAGGGTGTTGCTGTTTTGCCTCAATGTTGTGCAAAGTGTATCAGTGTATCAAGGACTGAGAGATGACTGCATGCAGTCTGGAAGGACATGACGGAGTTTCTCACAATCTGTAGGAAAAATAAATGTGAATGATATTTACATGTCTGTTCCTATATTAGCCTTTTCCTTATGACATGCCAGGAAAGAGACAATTGCCATTACACAGTTGGGTGGGGACCCAGCATTACCTAGCTCAGTGAGACATGTGTCCTAAAGAACTTCCAAAAAAGCCTTGAAATTCAGATCCTGAACATTGACAAGAAAGAGTAGGCAGGTTTGTTAGTGTGACACCGGATGGAAAAGAATTTCAATTTAATATTGAGAGAATTCAAACTAAACATTACTTCCCATAAGAAGGGAAGAGTTTCCCTTGAAATGTGCTAAAAGACCTATTTCTTGAGATGCCTGAGAAGGAGTGGAAGTGAAGTGTAAGAGGCAAACTTGCCTTGGTAGAAGGAAGAACCGGCTAACCTTAAATTCATATGTGTCTAAAATGGATCCTGCAATGAATTTAATGGAACAGGTCTCGTAAAATGTTATCAGCTGAATTCATTTCTTCACTGGGAGATCAGTGCTTATTTGAAAGTGTTAACACAGTGATATATATTTGGAAACCAACAACAGCCTAGTTTCAGCTGCTTGTCACACATGTAGGATGGGTGCTAGATAAAAGTGACATGTATTAAAAAGGAAAAAAACAAAAAGGGGAGAGTTTAAGTATGAACCACAGAACCACAAAGGCACCGTGTTCCACTCTTCCAAGGAAAGGTCCAGGAGCCAGAAGAGTTAGTTGAGGTCTTGTCAAAGGCACTTATTTCAGGGGGGGAGGGAGGGAGGAAGGAAGNGGAGGGAGGGAGGGAGGAAGGGAGAGAGGGAGGGAGGAAGGGAGGAAAGAATTAATTTGTGATTCTGTATCTAGGAATTTGGTTAATCAATTAGTAGTATACAATGTGTCTGCCTCTGTATCTAAAATATTTTAGATAAAACAATGTATAGCCAAAAGTGGTTTGTAGAACTAAATGAAATAATTATGATCAGGCCAGAAAATATCTATATGCATGAAAATCCAGTGCATACAAAAGTAATTGGGTAATTCACCAATCCAATAGAGTTAGGCATGTACAGATAAGAGACCCTGTTGTTCTGCTGTGCTGGTGCTAAGCAATGGGAAAGAGGCTATATTCTGATTCAGTAGCTTGCTATGTATTTTTTATTCAGGCCAGATTTGCTCTGACTTCATGTGCAGTGATGTACACTTTGTGTCCTGGGGAGCAGAAACAATTTACTAATATTTGTATGCTAGTTCAAACATTTGTTGGTTTGTTAGGATGGACATAAAGAGAGAGAAAGAGGAAGGAAGGTCTGAGGGACTATTTATTTGTGGAAGAAAGTGCAGCCATGCAAACTAAAGAAAAAATAGGTAAACACTTAATGCAAACTGGTTTTCTCATTCCTATACCCATCACAGTTGTACCTGGTAAAAAATACTATTTACAGGGTTTTTTTGGCTAGGAATAGCCACCTGTTTCTTTTTAAGGTACCACTCTGAAACTGCTTTCTTTTCTATCTGTGGGTTTTTTTTTCCCCCTGGTTTGTATTTGGGATTGATAATCTTAGGAGCAGAGTAGCTGAGATGCTGTTTACCATTTTAAAAAACCTGTGTGTTCCTTTTCTTCTCCTGAAAACAAAAACTCTAGGGGTTTTTAGATGTTTTGAAGGTTAGGAAGATTATGAAGTAAAGGAAGCAATTACATGAGCCATTTAAATCCTTTGATAGACTCTCACTGGAAAGCCTAACTTGATTGTATTGAGGATGGAAGAGGGAAGAAGTCTCATCAGACCAATCCCACAGTGGAAATGTACACCAAAGAAAGTGCAAGAGAACAAAAGGGACAGATTGGGCACAGATAAAATCAGATGCCTCAGGAAAGTACAATGGGAAATGAGGGGTTGGTTCAGATATGAAAAGCAAATGTTGTTGCTTTTGTTATTTCAGATGCTGCTGTTACATGCTAGGGTTTACATATTCTTCATTCTTTATGCATTTTTTTATGCTTATTTATTTTTTCCTGAGAAAAACAGATATATATCACATCCACATCTTGAAATATGCTGTATTCATAAGCCTCTGAATGACAAAATACATGAAGAAATCTAACACAAAAGATGAATTGTAAAAAAAATAGAATTATGCATAAAACCAGAAAACAGTAAAGTGTGGATTAAAATCCAAGAGGTGTTTATAGAACTGAGTCAACAAATCAGCTTGAGCACACTCATACATTTACTTTAGGCCTATCCATAATTCAGTTTCTAGATTGTTTGCCTGAGTATGTTGGGACTGATTGCCCTCTTGCTTGTTTGTTTAAATCAGGAACATCTTCTGTGCATTTACTAATATAACAGTGACATAATGGAGAGATGAGTCAGTCACAGAAAGGAAGTTATATAATGGTATTTTAAAAAGATGCTCCATAGTTTACTGTGGAAAAAAAAAAAGTCTCAGCAAGGAGAAGAACAAGTTGGACTAAGTGGCTCAGCCTTGATCTATGCTAATGAAATATCTGTTTAGGCATGTCAGTCACTGAAATGAGCACAAGGCAGAAATCTTTCCTAGTGATGCCATTGACTGGAATTCACACTGATCCTGTGCATGCCAGGCTGTGGACATTTACACAGGATGTGAGACCTGGAGCCATTCTGTTCTCATGTCTGCACTAAGATGCAAGACACCTACTGAGCCCCCTTTATGCAGCTTTCACATCCAAGACTGCTTTCACGCAGTCAAGAAACAGAACTGAGGCCATGTGATAGATTTGATGTCCCACAATTATTTGCCAGTTGTTCAGAAGCCAGGGAGATCAAATACAGAAAACAGTCCATATTCAGTCCACATGCTTAAACAAAATTAACTTTGGGCAATGAATAAATTTGAGGAAATCATGACTTGCATGTAGACAGTCCCACAAACAGGAAATGAGACTAAATCAATGTGATAAATTATATTTTGCAAATTCAGACATCCTTTTGCAAGCATTTCATTGAGAGCTATCCGGAGTAGTCAGGGAGGAGAGCAGGACTGTTTCCTGGCAGTAGGGTGAGCAGAGTGTCCACCCTACCCTGCCTGGAATCCAGCTAGAGCCAGTTCCCCAGCACCTCCCACTGTCTCCCAGCTGCTGAGGCACTGATGCCCTGTAGCTGGGAAAAAGGTTTCCACAGTGACCAGGAGATATCCCTATAGAACTGTAGTTAGCACTGATGCTCAGGACACCTTGCAGAGAGCTTCCAGAAAACAAGACCCCACTTCTTTCCCAGTGAGCTGTTAGGTCTATGAATTTGGGACACTGTCAGCGTGGATGTCTTAGGGTTGTGAATGTTAGACACTGTCAGTGTGGATGTCCTCAGTCTTTAACATACATAGGTCAAAGGACAGAACCATAAACATCAGTGGGAAATTTCAGTCTCATTTAAATCAAATAAAAGTCCTTTCCGACCCACTAGATCTAATTCTACTCTTAGTGTGGTTCTAGTCTTGTTTTACATTGTATTTATCTTGTTTTATGTATTGTATTTGGCAAGACACACCTATTTTGGGTAAAACACAAATTCTGGATGTGTGACTTGTTTTTTGTAGAATACAACTATGAAATAAGGTGCAGAGGAACAAACTAGATTCCTTAGTAGTGATCTTAGACCTACCCATGCCCCTTCTACCTGTAAAAGAGCCTGATGTTTTACAAGAGGAGTGAATATCATGACAGCAGATGTAGTCTGCTAAGCTGCCATACATATTGTGTGTGCAGTGGTGGCTTCCCTGTGGGCAGATGCTATGAACCTAGCTGCTCTTTTAGGAGTCAGGAATACATTGACTCAAAGAGAATTTGATGCAAAAATATTTATATGTCTTAGCTTCCCACTGAATGAATAAACTAAAGCTGGGGAATTAAACTATTGAGTGATTGGTGCTACTTGATGGAGCAATTCTGTTGTCATATTTCTATCTCTAGGAGCCCGATCATTCCTCTTTCTGTTACATCAGACTAAGAAGATGGACTTTGTATTCCCACATATAAAATTTCTAAGATACTCTGTCTAGAAAATAAAAAAGCCCTTTTATTAATGTAGAAGAAATAGGAGAAACTTTTGGAGAGGACTTTTACTGCAGTACACTAAGTGGAAGTGCTTTTAGCTCAGTGGAGGCAGGTATTGTGTGTGCATATTTGTGGGTGAGAGAGAAATGCTTTCAAAAACACACACATTTTTCAGTGCAGGTAGAATAACAGTTTTCAGTCATGAGAATACTCAGGTGACAGACAAAGTACTGCTTAAAGAAACTTTGAGCTGAAGTGTTATTTCTACAGCCATTATCAGCTGCATTCCCATGACTATTATGCGTTCCTCCAGAGAGAGAGGAAAGCTAACACAGCTTCTAGCAATTCACAGGAAATACACTTTCATTTCTTCAGAAAGGAGCAGAGGGAGTACTGGGTGAAAAAATTAACTTTGTTGAGACCAGAATTTCAGCACAGAAGCAGACATGCAATGGACAATTGTGTGAGAAGTTAAAGCCCCAGTCACACCATGGGGAATCCTAAAGCCTCTTGTTTCTAATGGTGTGGTGGCATTTGGGACCAGATGAGCATTTGCTCTTTCAGACTACAGCACATGCAGTGAGGTAATAAAAGTTTTCAATTGCCAGAGCTGTAAATCACTTTAAAGAATTCTAGATTTTTAATCTTCCATGCTTAAAATGATACTGCTTCATGTATTATTAATCAAAGACCACGGTCTGTATGAGGACAGCATAGATTCATGCTAGATGGAACCACACCACATTTATAGCATTTGATAGGTTGACTCGCTGAGATAAGAAGTTTCTGCAATTGTTACATGAAACAAGCACACAAGGAGGTAGCCCAGAGCTGAAAATCTCTTCAAGAGATCCCATTGTGCAGTCTTTCTAGTTTCATTCCTCTCTCCAAAGAGCTGTATAGTTTTAAAAATACATTTCCCAGTTATTTCTGTTTCCTTTTCAGTACTGCATTATAATGTATTATGG